TTTTTACTTGATTTAAAGGAAGGTTCACTTTGTAAACATCTTGACAGCATTACTGGAAAAAATGAATGGCCCATCTCAGTGAATAGCTTCTTGTATCAACCTACAGAAACACAAAATTATACTTTTCAAACTGTAAAAGTGGGCCGTTCATAACATAAATTTAGATAAACAATGTATTTAGTTTGTCTTTAGCATAGATGTGGATGATATATAATTTTGATCAAAAAGAATGACTCGACAATCTTAAAATAACAGATTATTTTTTAAATAATTGGTTTAAATAAGAAAGAGCAGATAAATCAGGAAGGAAAAACATTAAAAAGTCACTGACCCCATCTGCTGGTTAATGTTGATAGTACCTCAGTGCAGCTCAGTTTTTGCAAAATGGTCTTTTGTGGTCTCACACATGCATTGAACAACCAATAAGTTGGTGTCATCAAAGCAATTTGTAAAAATTACTAAGTAGTAGGCCTATGGCATGATTTTCAGTAGGCTAACACTGTCTACTGTCAATCTGATTTAGAATAGTTGAATTCAGGGGGTTAAAATACATGCTTACATTTTTCAATTGAGGTGTTTACATGAAGCCGGCTTTTCAGTCATCAAATATTTTTGGTTGCATGAATGCCTGGTTCAGATTACACGATTTTAGCCCGCTTTTTGGCACGATCCGTTTGACGGTATCGTGGGGATTCTTAAAAGACAACGGGCGTCGGTACGCAAGATTCGATCGTATAGTGTGTCAAAGTGGGCAACAACATACGTCGCGTCTGCAATGCTTCACGACATCATGACAAAAAGTCTAGCATCAATTTTTTTAACGGTCGTCCACGGCGGTTCCGTCACATAAGATTGACCAATAGGAGCACAGAAGCTTTTCCGTACACAACTTTCAAAAATGGTGAAAGGAAAGAGAGACGATGGTGCTAACTTTAAAACTAAAAGTAAAAATAGCCTATGTAAGAAAACAATATTTTACCTCAAGTTCTCTTTGGAGGATTGAGCCCATACTGTCCTCTTCGAGCAATCCAGGAACGCGTCCATTGTAGGGTTTTCTTTCTTTCTTTTTTCTTTTTTTTTTTTTTTTTTTTACTTTTTGAACACAGGACAGCCAATAGGCTTTATGCCGTGCGTCACGTGACCAAACCGGAAAACGGGTCTCATCGCATCCGCTTGTCAGAGAAAGTGTTAATGGCCGTAAGAACTGACTACGATATGGATATTTAAGGTAATTAGCTAACCTAACTAGTTCACTTTGTTATTGGTGTTTTATTCCATTTAAATATCTAAACGTTACTGTGAAGAATAAAAAATATAAAACGTTTAAATATCAATCTGCACATGTGAGGGATATTGGTTATGCTAATCTTTGCTCGCTCCTTTTAAGTTATCTTGAGTAAAACCGCAAAAAAAAAATCATGAAGCACATACAAAAGACCTGTACCGGAAGCGATGCGACCTGTTTTACAGAGAATGCGGAAGTAAGTTGTGCATAAAGCCTATACACTCACCGCTTCATCCATTGTTTGTTTACGTTCGTTTCCGGTCACTCGCTAATTTCGCCTTCTCGATGACATCACACGCGTCGTTAAAGACGGCATGCGATGACTGGTCAGGAAGCAACGTACGTCTTGTCTATGACGCGACAAGATTTTAGGAGTCAAAATCGCATAATCGGACACAGTGACTATCCTAACAGACAAAAAAATTGTGTAATCTGAACCAGGCATAAATGTAGCTAGAAAAAAATATGATATGGACGCTGACTGAATCCCCTGAACATAAGGTGAAATCGGGTAAATAGGGCCACATTTTTAATGTAGTCTCATATGGCAAAAATGGTCTCTAATTTAGCTGAAGTCAGCTTAAGTAATTTAGACATTGCATCAACTGGTACACTATATAGACAATTGGGACTCACACATCTTAATTAGCCTATTGAATGTTTCGATCAGACATTTAAAAACATCTGTGGAAAAAAATGGCTCGATCATTCTGAAGAGTTCAGTGAATTCAAGCATTGTAGTGCCACCTTTACATATGCTAGATATTCCATGGTCAACCAAGCAGCTGTGTGCAAGCCTCATTTCACCAAGTACAATAGCAAGCATTAGATGGAGTGTGTAAAGCATGTCGCAACTGAGTGGAAATGTGTTCTGTGGAGTGACGAATCACGAGTCTATGTTTGGCAGTCTGTGTTTAATAATAATAATTTGTTACATTTATATAGCACTTTTCTGGATACTCAAAGTGCTTTAAATGAAAGGGGGAATCTCCTCAACCACCACCAATGTACAGCATCCACCTGGATGATGCGACGGCAGCCATATAGCACCAGAACGCCCACCACATACCAGCTTACTGGTGGAGAGAAGACAGTGATGAAGCCAATCAGTATATGGCGATGATGATGGACAGAGGCCAGGGGGCAAATTTGGCCATGGTGCCGGGGTTACACCCCAACTCTTTTTCAAAGGACATCCTGGGATTTTTAATGACGACAGAGAGTCAGGACCTCGGTTTAACGTCTCATTTGAAGGACGGATTGGAGGATGCCAGGAGAACATTTACCTTCCTGACTGCATTGTGCCAACAGTAAGGTTTTGTGGAGGATAATAGTGTTTCAGGGGTGGCGCTTGGCCCATTACTTCCAGTGAATGGAAATCTTAATGCTTTCGCATACCAAGACACTGCCATTTTGGTGCCCTAAGCATAATTCCTTTATGATTTATTCCTTTATCCTTTATGATTACCCCCCCTCCCCTCCCACCCGCCTCTGTGCACAAGTGTCCATAAAGACATGCTTGGATGAGTTTAGTGTGAAAGAAGTGAAGAAGTGGACTGGCCGGCACAGAGCCCTATCCTCAACCCCATCGAACACCTTTGGGACTGAACTGGAATGGATTTTGTGAGCGAGGCCTTCTCGTCTAACATCAGTGCCTGACCTCACAAATCCTCTACTCTGGATGAATGGGCGAATATTTCCACAGGAACACTCCAAAAGCTTGTGGAAAGCCTTTCCAGAAGAGTGGAAACTTTTATAGCTGCAAAGAGGGGAACAATTGACCCTTCGCTAAGACACGCCCGAAAACCGCCTCTGGACAATCGTGTCTTAGCAACCGTAACTAGGCACGGGAGGTCTGGCAAGCTTTCGAGCGAGGGAAACATGCCGAAGAGTGGTACGTATGGATTGTGCAAATCTAATACCTGGTATCCTAAAAGTTTGGATGGGGAAGTGGAATTTTTTTCCTTCCCGAAAATCTAAAAGCCAAGGGGAGAAAGGATGGGCGTGATTAAGCAGTGGGAGACCCATTCACAACTAAAAAATGTCGACAGGATTAACAAAAATCCTTATTACTTAAAAATATTGACGATTCTTTGTTCATAATGCATATAGCCTGGTTAAAACCAGACCATCTCAGTTTGTAACTAAGTTATGGTCTGGCAAAGCTTAATAGACAAATCATTTCCAGAGGGACGTCACCAACGGACGTAGCTCAAATGCCTCAAAGGCACAATTGGATAGACCTAAAACCAATCAGAGCGCTGAAGGAGATGACGTTTTTTCAGATAAAAAATTACTATTTATCTGATTGTGAATGTCTGACACCGGTGCATACACACTGTAATAGATGTGTCAGCAGTGAAAGCTTGACAGGCATAGCAACAGTAACTAGGGAGGGCGGGGCTTAGCGAAGGGTCAATTCAAAATTAATATCATGTGTATTTAGAATGTTGGTGTAATGGTCAAGTGTCACAATACATTTGTCCATAAAGTGTATAGGATCTGTAAACTGCAAAATATTATAGCCTGATCTGTGTTAGACAGTCAGTAAACTTGGAATTAGTTCTCAACGGCGTGAGTATGTAGAGGGTCCAAATGGCACCGTGGTCTTCCTTGAATCCACACTTTCGTGATGTAATGCTGCTTTGACTGTCAGGTAGAAGTCTGCTGGGGAGCTTGCTCGGACTTGGAAAAAGTCCCATTGTAAAGGCCAATGGGTCTATCCCGAAACCCACACTTGCGGTCTTGGCCTCTTGAGAACACGTGCACATTGGTCAGTAAGTGCGCAAGACTGTCCCAGGTCTGGAAAATGCCAAAGCTCAGTGCTCTTAATGAACAATAAATCCACACTTTCTCTAATATCGCTTTGGAGTCAGTCCTGACATTCATCATGAGCACATGTGCACTAAAAATGCAAGATTTCAAGGGAAACTTTCCAGCGTAAGTTGAATGAATTAGAAATCAAATATAACTTGGTAGTAAAGCATAAAGTGTTTCACATTTTATTGATTAGAATGTGTATTTGGTAAAACATTAGCAGCTGCTTTTGTTTTTAGCACTTAATTAGAAACACTACAATGAGTAAAATGTGATGTCTGTTACACATAGAGACTACTAACAGATATAAAGTGCAAGACCGCAAGTAGGGTATTGAAACAGACCCAAAAACAGGCGTAAACTTCCTGTTTACATGTAGGCCTTGTTAATTCTCTCACACAAACTACTCATTTCGTATCTTAGGCCATCAATGTGTACTTACATTTACGAGTCATTAAATCATGTTTAATTTGGACTTCTCTGTGCATGCTCTTTGAGGTGGTGACCATAGACCTCCATTATATGACTGACAGACAAGAACGTTTTGACCTAAAAATATCAAAATTGAAAATACTGTGGTGTGGAAGCAAAGACACCTACATCTTGGATGCCCTTGAGGTAAGCTAAAACATCAAAAAGTAATTTCAAAGTGAACTATGATTCAATGACTCGCTCAAAAGACTCGTCGCCACCTACTGGCGAAACGATAAACTGCAGAAAAAAAGATCATAGAACGATTCTCAGCGGACTCTCTAAAGACTTTTGGTGTATCAAAATCCCCACCATCACTTCTCAGCATCCTGATTTTTTTGTCAAGTGTGTAGGTGCAGCGAAACTTGATGATGACGTGCCATCCAGCACGTTTGACGCGTCCCATGGATAAAGTTGCGGCTGTCCGTGACGTCAGATCACACAGTTCTCCTCCTCACACCGGTGCGGCCAGTTATCTCAAGGCGCACTGTTCTTTAACCATATTATTATTAACGTTTAAATACAAATCGTCTTCTTTTCTCATCTTTTTTCTTTTCCTTTTTGGTAACCCAACATCATCAAAGCTGAAGTTCTTTTAGAAAAGGTAAGATTTTTTCTGATTTACATTAGCCAGTGGGTTGCTTCTGTAAAATGGCTCCGATGGCTCGCCTGTTCTTGCTCTCTACCTTTACTAGACTATAACTACTCCCAGTCAGTTATCCAGGTGAACTGACCGCAGTTGCTGGGTTAAACCTAGAGGTTTAGTGCTGTAGTGAGATACTGTGTGTTTATATGTAAATTGTTTGGCTGTAACGACCCGCTTTATTGTTGCTTATGAGAAAATGGCGTCTGGTTATTAAATCAGCTGTTCTCTCACCACCCTGCCGGTAAACCCCACATTTGACCATTAACCGGCGTATATTTTAACACCAAGTGATCCCTTATCAAACTTGATGCCTGGTTTAAGTTTCCACTTGTTTATTGTGCTGACTTTAAACGATGGAAACCTGTTTTCTTGTATGTGTGATAATTAGCCTCAATGCTAATGGCACGAGAAGAGCTCTATGACAACAACTCTGTGTGATTTCAATACTCTATTATCATCATCATCATCAAAGTCGTCATAAAATGTTAATTATTTTACCGCTCAGATGCCGTCTTTCTTAATTGATCAATAACTTGTAAGTAAACAGTATTATAATGCCGCTCAAATGTGTTGTTTAATAAATCAAGGGTCTTTTGTGAAATCTGAGCTCATGGCAGAGGCCTTGGGCTTTGTTCAGATTTGATGGCAGTTCAGTTCTTTTCATTTATCCTCGTGGTTTTTCCACAAGAACCCTGTTTAATCTCTGATATGTTTTAGTTGATGTTCAATGCGTGTCATTTTCCTTTATCGTGTAAATCCTAATAAATAAAGTGTTTTTTTCCTCTCCTAGGCCGTGTTTCTACACCCCCACCCTTTCACTCATTCTTTTTGAGGATCTTTCATTGTCAAGCCGCCAAAGTGGAGAGTGTGATTGCAGAGGGGGGTGCTTCTCGTTTCAGGTACAAATTTCTCTTGATTTGCATGGACCTTGTGCCATTTGAGAAGACTGTTAATTTAGCTAAAGTTAAATTAGTGAAGAAGTTAAGATGAGAACATATTCACATTTATTTGTATTGTGTTTTTCACAAAACATAATTTCAAACAGCTTTACAGAAAACACATGCGTCTAAATAAAGTTTAGAGTGGTCTGTTATCAGAGATGACTGTTCAAGTTATACATTTCAGAAATATACGTACAAATCACGCAGTTAAAGGAGTAGTAGACTGATAATTTACTCACCCCCATGTCATCCAAGATATCCATGTCATTCTTTCTTCAGTCGAAAATAAATTAAGGTTTTTGAGGAAAACCAGGATTTTTATCTATATAATGGACTTCAATGGGATCTAACCCTAACGGTCGCTCATTTAAAATAAATAAATAAAGTTTACGTTTTATAAGCTCACATGCTCGCCTGCCTTGCTCTGTTCTGTGATGCGCGTTTGTGACTCATTCATCAAAACGAACGAATCTTTTCCCGAGTCAACTCGTTCATTTCGTTCGTTGAATGAACCAAATGACACGAAAAAAGAATAGTTCAAACAGGAGAGTCCCAAATGCGCTAATTTGAGCTTATAAATATTAATTAATTTATTTTTTTAAATGAGCAATCGTTTCGCTTGATAAGACCCTTATTCATCGTCTGGAATCGTTTAAAGCCCCTTGAACAGTTTGCACTGAAACTGTCTTTTGGACCTAGAGCCGTTTGGTTCCCGTTGAAGTCCATTATATGGAGAAAAATCCTGGAATGTTTTCATCAAAAACCTTAATTTCTTTTCAATTGAAGAAAGAATGACATGGACATCTTGGACGACATGGGGATGAGTAAATTATCTGCAAAAGTTGTTTTTTTAAATTGAACTACTCCTTTAACTAACGATATGTTAATTTAAGCAAAGATTGTTAACAAAGATTAGAATATATATAAATTGTAGCATAACATGTACCTCATACAGCTTCCTGGGGGTGTGGGATATAAGGATTTAATAATAATTTCAATAAATCCTTTTCAACCCCAATTTTCGCTTTTATAGTGCTTCTTCGGCCGGAGGAGGAGGTAGGGGTGCACCTCAGCACTATCCCAAGTCTGTCGGCAACAGGTTAGTTTGAACCATGTAAACTTGGTTTTATTTGGAAGTGATTGTCCTGTAGACATTGGCTGTGCTTCCATCCACATGTTTTTATGCGCATTTTGGAATATCACATAAAAAATAAACTGCTTGAAGAAGACGCCTGAAAAGACATGTGCATGAAAAAAACATATAGACCATTTCACAAGATGTAAACAACACTGGTCCAGAAGCACTTCCTGTTTCAGTTTTTTAACACTACATAAAAGCTGGGATAAAATACAACCAACAGAACATTTAAAACTGAATCAAAAAGTTAAACATCTTTAAGATGTTTTCTTTACATGTGAAATAAAGAAAACGGTTACAAACTGAAACAGGAAGTGTTTCTGGACCAGTGTTTACATCTTGTGAAATGGTCTATACGCTCGTTTGAGTCGGATATATTTATTTGATTAGAAAACATCCGCATAGACTACAATGGAAACACAACAGAATAAATCCTTTAAAAAAAATTGGACTGCATAACTGGATTAACTAGTGGACTTGAAATGCTGGTTTGGTCATTCTAAAAAGCGAACATTCTAAAAAGTGGTTTGGTATGTATAATTACTCTGACGTAACAAAAGGAGATGGAACCCATTGTAATCAGCGACGCGACACCACAAATGTCCTGCAGTAAACTCGTACAACTGACACAAAGAACAAATGGATTTGTTGCTTTGTCACGTCCAGTGTAGACAGCCTCGAGCTGTTACAGCACATTGCGACTCAACAACTGTCACTTCCAGTGTAGAGACAGTCAGAGACCTTTGTGTTTTTACTGAGATGGTGATTTACATCTATGATGGTGCCAGATTTACGTTCGCCACCGGTCGATGAACAGTTTGAACTAATTTCCTAGTAAACAAATAATTTGTTTGGACAAATCATTACTTATGTCGGGGAAACAATTTAACTTTGAAAAGCTTCGCCTCTGCATCAGTGACCATCAATTACACCAGTGGTATTTACTGGAGATTACTGCCAGCAATGATTAACTGCATAAGACAAACATTTTACTGAGGTATTTTCATAAATAAGATTGCTTAATTTGAAATCAGCATTAAACCAATAATGACAATGTGGTATTGGAGTAAAAATGATTTATTCATTGACGAATTATATAAATGATTTATTCATTAATAATTATTATTTTTCAAAATTCATGGGCCTTCGTAATCTTTAAACAAAATAACTTCCCCTTCCAATGACATTTCTGATGTTGTTAACTGGTGTAAAGGTGAGACCGTAAAATTCCCTCACTTGAGATCACAGCAATCTGATTGACAGAATCAAATCCCACCCTTTTCTCATTCTGGAAGCTGCTTTACTCGTGTTGAAAGAGAAAAAAAGATTATCAAACTTGTTTCATCCAAAGTTGAAAGTGTCTTTATTATGCTTTTTCAGTTAACTGATGGCACACGTACATCACAAAGACGTCTATTTGATGTGTGCGTTTACATCTGGAAGACGTATTTTTTCAATAATAAACGTTTCCCAAATAGCACAAGTCTATTTGATGTGATGTTTACATCTGGAAGACGTATTTTTAAGAGTGTTTGCTCTTCTGCAAAACGTCAATGGGTCGTTTCCTGTCAGATGTCAATTAGACGTTTAGATGTCAGTTTAACATGCTTTCTAAATCATTACATCTTAAAGACATCTTCTAAACATCTATTTGACATCTGACCGGAAACGTTTTGTAGATGTATTGCAGATGAGCAAACACTTTTAAAAATACGTCTTCCAGATTTAAAAATCACATCAAATAGACTTGTGCTCATCTGCAATACGTCAATAGGATGTTTCCTGTCAGATGTCAAATAGAGGTTTAGAAAATGTCTTAAAGGGACTCTGTGTAGATTTTTAGGTATTTTATTATCTGAAATCAATATTTTTATTCATAAATATGTCCTCAATGGTGTACAAATACCTCTGCAAATTATCTGACTTATCCTCGTAAATGAAGAATTTATTATCTTTATGTACATGGGACGGGTAGGTTCACGGAGGCTTCCATGTCCGTTCCGCCATCTTGAAAACTATAATAGCAGAGAGGGTCAAAAAGTACCACAAGCCAAACGCGTTTCCACAACGCGTTTTCGTTCAGCCATCGTCACGTCACATTGAGAGGCGCATTCCCTGCAAGTTTAAACGGCTGCATTGCACTCCTATGATTGCTGATTGCTCTTTTGCTCTATTATTTGTAATTGCGGACCATATGCCGAGTCACAGGAGAATGCATCCTCCTCGCAAAAAAAGGCCAGACTTGAACGAAAAAGGAAACGCGACCGGAGATTGCAAAAAACAAGACCATTCATTTTTCCGTCATAAAATTAATCGGATATGGTTCGATTTTCTGCGTTTTTCGCATCCAGAGCCAGCATTTTGAGAGGTCTTTTGACAATTCAGGGCCGGGGGAGCTCGTCCTCAAATCATTGCACATATGCGCCGTGCTTTCAGTTTCGGTTTTCAATTCGAGCAAGTGTTTATGTTCTCTTCTCTATATTGGATTATGAAATTAATAAACCTCCCCTTTCAATCAGATTGAAATTTAGGATCGAATAAAGTGTGATTGAGCAGCCTATTCGATAACTAATGTATTATTTGGGCACAATATACACAATACATACACAATAACAGCCTAGCTGTTCTGTCTGCCCAGCGCTTCCACAGGGCCGCGCGCGGGTGTGTGTGTGTTTGTGACGTGTGTGTCCATACCTGGTCCATACCAGACACACTGCCAGTCTCCGTTCAGAATCGATTGGTTCACGGAAATTGGTGGTCTTGTTTTTAATATGTGGCTCCAGAATCGCTAGCAAAGCATCAAACTGTCCCGCTGACATTCTGAGGTAAATTTTGAATCGCTCAGGATAAATTCGCAACTTCTTGATAATGAACTCCTTCCTCTCGGCGCAATTTCAGGATTGGATGGATATTTTCTATTTCTTCTCTTTTCAATATGAGAGAGGGCAAAAATCATCCTCCATTTGGTATTTTTGCGTTTTTTCCCGCAAAGTTTATACGCAACGGACTCGGTGTGCAAGGTTTCTATGCGTGACGAATTTTTAGGCTGACGTACAGGAAAATACGCATACGAATATTTCGTGCTCAGTGTGCAATGGCCTTAAATATCGGGATAGCGTTTTCAACCGTGGAAATAGCTAATGCAGCAGAAAGATTTCAGAAGAGACGCTGAAGTTGCCTGCTTTCTCCTCGACAGGTTAGTCAATGTTACAGTCTGACTTAATTTTTTTGTCATTGCTTGGTTGTGTACTTTATTATATAGACAGTATAACATTTATAGGTAAAAAAGTTAAACAAGGTCTTTGATGAATAGCAGCTATTGACTACTTTACTCGCAGCTATTGTGAAGGAAGGTGCTAAAAACAAGGTTTGTAAGTTAATTCTTTATAACCTATAAATTCAGTAAGAATATAGAGATAATGATTGTAAGAAAATATTGAAGAAAATATTGCTCTCTGTAAGATTTTCTATAGCTTTCTTTTTATATATAAATGATCAATTAGCTAAAATTGTGATTTTGCTATGTGGATAAGATTGTACAGAGAATTAAAATGAATTTATACAGCTAGACACATAAATTGTACACATAAGTTAACACATAAGTTGCTGTTTTTTTTAAAATTACAAACCTGTTCACCCGGAGGAAAAACTCGATGAAGTGTTACTACAAGACATCCTGTCATAGCATTTTTGGTACATAACGGCAACCGTAGATGCAATACGCACTTGAAAAAGCGAGGCGCTGGAGAGCAACATTCGTTTGAATGCAAAATACTATTTAACCACTAGATGGGGGTATTTCCTACACAGAGTCCCTTTAAGACGCAATGATTTAGAATGCATGTTAAACTAACGTCTATTTGACATCTGACAGGAAACGTCCTATAGACCAGTGTTTCCCAACCCTGTTCCTGGCGGCACACCAACATGTCTCCCTAATCAAACACACCCGATTCAACCCATCAGCTCATTAACCCACCTGATTATGAGCTGATGGGTTGAATCAGGTGTGTTTGATAAGGGAGACAAAGAATACACGCAGTGTTGGTGTGCCGCCAGGAACAGGGTTGGGAAACACTGCTATAGACATATTGCAGATGAGCAAACACTCTTAAAAATACGTCTTCCAGATACGTCTTCCAAATCATGTCAAAAAGACTTGCGCTATCTGGGTTGTGAATGTAAATTGGCAAAGTTTCTACGAACAAGGTGTACAATAAATGGAGTTATTGTCTTCCAGTCTTACTTCCTGTATAAATTTGTAACATATCTTCATAATGTCCGCCCATGCTCTTCACTGGTTGCTCTTGAATGAAGTCTACTCGGGCTTGAATTAATATGATAAAACCAGCGCCATTGTTCCTGTTTGTATCACTGTGTATGCAAGGAAGAGCTGAAATTCAGATATGGTAATGAGCGATTATTTTCCAAAATGTGCTGTAAGTGGTAGACCAATCCCAACAAACTGGGTCATCTGACCAATCAGAGCGGAGGATGCTCTCGGAAAGCCTGGTTTTAGAGACACTGGTGAGACTGCAATGTATATAATGAGAGAATGACGCATGTAAACTATATAATGAGAAATTAGGGACTTTTAAAATGGAATAATGTCTTGTTTACCAAGTCACATGTTTATTTAAAAATCTAAACATTATTAGGAGCTTGCGAGGTAAAATGGTGTCGACCCCATGTGATAAAATATTATAGAAGGCATTTAATTGTCTTAAAGTAGATTAACTTTCAGATTGGCTCAAAGATATTTTAGTACTGATTTTTTATGTCTGACATTACGAAGTCATCGAAGCCTTTTCATAACATTAAACGTGGCATTGTTTTCTAGCGAGTTCCTGGGGAAAACCCCAGGGCTTAGCGTTCAGAGATGGGTTCCTTCACGAAGCACTAGACGAGATGTCAACTCCTCCAACGAAAAAGAACGACACGATGCAATCTTCAGAAAAGTGAGAGGGTAAGGCACTGAAATGAATCACTTCATTCACCACTGCAGAGATTCAGTAGAGTTTGCCCTGATTTACCTTTCAAGAATGATGTATTACACTACAGAAAGCAGAATGCACTCCCTAGTCCTTCTCTAGACGTGTATAAAGATAAGCGTCTTGCATACTTGAATTGGCTTTTAAATACTATTTGCAGCAAAAGTTAGTGAAGAACTGACCGTTTTGCTTCTGTCTTTCTAGCATACTTAATAAACTGACCCCTGAAAAGTTTGACAAGCTATGCCTTGAGCTCCTGAATGTGGGCGTAGATTCAAAGCTCGTCCTCAAAGGAATCATCTTGCTGGTGAGGATTTTGTTCATTTCTACATGTAGACTAGTTAAAGGAGTAGTTCACTTTTAAAAAACTTTTGCTGATAATTTACTCACCCCCATGTCATCCAAGATGTCCATGTCTTTCTTTCTTCAGTTGAAAAGAAATTAAGGATTTTGATGAAACCATTCCAGGATGGACTTCAGTGGGAACCAAACGGTTCAAGGTCAGGCAGTGCAGCTTTAAAGGGCTTTAAACGACATCATATTATGAATAAGGGTCTTATCTAGCAAAACGATCAGTCATTTAAGTTCAAATAATTTTAAGTTTTATAAACACAAATGCTCGCCTCGCTCTGTTCTGTGATGAGCGTTCGTGACTCCTGTTCGAACTCGTTCATCAAAATGAACATATCTTTTTTTCGAGTCATGACTCGAAGGGTCCTATATAAGACCCTTATTCATCGTCTGGTGTCGTTTAAAGCCCTTTGAAGCTGCACTGAAACTCTGCATTGGGAACCAAACGGTTCAAGGTCCAAATGATTTTATTATATGGAGAAAATCCTGGAATGTTAATCAAAAACCTTAATTTCTGTACGACTGAAGAAAGACGTGGGCATCTTGGATGACATGGGGGTGAGTAAATTATCAGCAAGTTTTTTTAAAAGTGAGCTACAACTTTAAAGGGTTAGTTCACCCAAAAATGAAAATTAAGTCATTAATTACTCACCCCCATGCTGTACCAACCCCGTAAGACCTTCGTTCATCTTCGGAACACAAATGAAGATATTTTTGATTAAATTTGAGAGCTGTATAACTACCACATTGGCTCCTAAGGGACTGCCTCTTGACGGCCCAGAAAGTCAATGAAGAAAATGTTTAAATATCCCAAGTGACTACCGTGGCTCGACGCGAATACTTTTTGTGCGAAAAAACAAACAAAAATAACGAGTTTATTCGACTATTCCTTTTCTTCCTTGTAGGCCAGAAACGAGACTTCCTTAGATTTCCACGACGCATGCGCGAGAATTGCTATCTGCTTACACTACTTCAGTTCAATTCTCGCGCATGCGTTGTGGAAATCTAAGGAAGTCTTGTAGTTATACAGCTCTCAAATTTAATCAAAAATATCTTAATTTGTGTTCCGAAGACGAACGAAGGTCTTATGGGGTTGGTACAGCATGGGGGTGAGTAATTAATGACTTAATTTTCATTTTTGGGTGAACTAACCCTTTAAGTAAACTGTTTTTCCAAGCAATTCAAGTAAACCATTTGTAATAAAGAAACTAAGACAAGTCATCGTAATAGCATTAATATGATTGAACATGGCTGGTCGGTTTGGCTGCATTTTATTGTTTGAAGTTGCTTACATAAAAGACAAATGCTTTCAAATGATGACTTTTCTTCTTGTTCGCTTCAACTAGATTGTAGACAAAGCCCTCGAAGAGCCAAAGTATAGTTCGCTATATGCTCAGCTATGTCTGCGTCTGGCAGAGGATGCTCCAAACTTTGACGGCCCATCAACCGAGATCCAAACATCACAAAAACAGAGCACTGTAAGAGTTTCTTTATTCATTAGCAAGAGGCTTGTACCTTTATGGGTACATTTATTTCACTATTTCCCCATGCTCTTACAGACATTCAGGAGACTTCTGATTTCCAAACTTCAAGATGAATTTGAAAACCGCACCAGAAATGTTGACAGTAAGTAGTGGAGGTGCTGACATTATGCCTGCAGCTGTGCTAAATTGCCAGATATTTACGTATGTTTTTTTTTTTTGTTTTTAAGTCTATGATAAAAACGACACCCCTCTCACCTCTGAGGAGGAGGAGCAGCGCGCCATCGCCAAGATCAAAATGCTTGGCAACATCAAATTCATCGGAGAACTTGGCAAACTCGATCTCATTCATGAGTCTATCCTTCATAAATGCATCAAAACAGTGAGTTATCCACAAATCCTCCGTTTAAATAGCCGTCGTCTACTTAGTTTCCATCCTAATGTTGCTACTTATGAAAACTCTAATTAAAGCTTCTGGAAAAGAAGAAAAGAGTCCAACTTAAGGATATGGGGGAGGATTTGGAGTGCCTCTGTCAGATAATGAGAACTGTGGGGCCAAGACTAGATCATGACAAGGCCAAGGTAAGCTGCTTTTAGTTTCCCAGGGCTTTGAATAGGTTAAGACGCATGTATTTCCTTAACACCCCTTTCTTCCGTAGTCTTTAATGGATCAGTACTTTGGCCGTATGCGATCCTTAATGAACAACAAGGACTTGCCTGCTAGGATTCGTTTCCTGCTTCAGGATACTGTGGAGTTGCGAGAGAACAACTGGGTGCCTCGGAAAGCTTTCATTGATAATGGACCTAAGACTATCAACCAGATCCGTCAGGATGCTGTAAAGGTGAGTTTGGGATGTGTTTCAAAGCAATATTGCTCGTATCAGAATTAGGGATGGGACGATAACCGGTTTCACTATAAACCGTGATAAAATGTACTGACGGTTAGTATTATCGTTTAAAATGTAATTATCATTAAAACCGTGTTTGATTATCGCGATTTTAATAACTCACTGAATCCTGTCGGCCAGTCTGACGCAGGCGCGCAGCACGCAATATTTTTTTAAATTACTATTCGAGAAGGAATGGCGGAAGGCAGTGACCATGCTCAGGAGGTTTTTCAGCCTTTTAAGAGGACCAAATCTGAGGTGTGGTCATATTTTGGGTATTACAAAAGTCCTGAGGGAAACTTGATCGAGGATGGTCACCCTGTCTGCCGAACAAAAAGTCACTACAATAGAAACACTTCAAATCTGCCGAGTCGTCTTGTGTGATCATCACCCGAACGCAAGGCAAGTTAACTTTGACCTCAATACCAAAACTACGTCTGGGAAACAATTGGGCACGAAATGTTGTTTTTAATTTGAAACATTTTGTCACTCACTTGAAGTAGGCTAGACGTCAAGCTTCCGCGAAGAAAAGTTTGTATCAAGTGGATTTGAGCCAAAAACGAACGAACAACTTCAAACAAGACTATTATTAAGAGTGATATTTTAAGGGATAGTAAAGTACAGATACATCACGTATTAAACCGATTTTATTTTTACCACATAATTACGGGGACATATTGAATTGATAATGAGATTAGCTAATGTTTTATATCTTACCTGTTTATGAATTCATTTTGTAAAACAATCGTCCAGACGAGATATATCACACCAATATTATCAAACTCTGTAAACAATAAATCAACTCTGATTTCATTTTTGCAATACAATCAAAAACCGGAGACGCAAGACGGCAAGTTGTATTTGAATGAAACAAGAGCGCGCGTCCGTTGTGAATGTTATGGATGTGCGTGTGTAATAATGCGTTGCTATTGACGACGGGCATTATAAAGAAGCAAATGCCATAGAATAGAATCTTGCTTAAAAAAAACTGCATAGAGAGACTTGTTTTATTTGTTGTTTGTTGATTTTCAATTATAAAATGAAATGAAATGTTTTCAGTGTGAGCATCAGTTCTTTTTGAGCACTTTCATACATTTTTTACAAAAACCATGATAATATTGATAATCACGATTATTTTGGACACTATAATCGTGATATGAAATTTTCATACCGTCCCATCCCTAATCAGAATATGATTCCAAGAAATTTATGGAAAATTCCCAATCCTCACAGTGAGCCTGCTTGCTTAATTGTTTGTTTTTTTCTCTCTCTCTCTCCGTCTTCCTCAGGATTTGGGTGTTTTTATTCCACAGATGACTCAAGGAATAAGAACGGACTTTTTTCAAGAAAGCCATTTCTTGCAGACGAGAATAAAGCCTGATCGAGAGACTCTTGGGGGATTAGCGGATATGTTTGGGCAGATGCCAGGTATGTCCTGTAGTGCGTTGACATTTCTGGGACAGGTGGTGCATGACTGGATTTCATGGCGAGCTTAATAACTCCGTTGTCTGGTTGTAGGTGGTGGGATTGGAACTGGCCCCGGGGTCATTCAGGACAGGTATTCCCCCACCATGGGCCGTCGCACAAACCCTCTTTTCAATGGGCATGGTGGTCACATGGCCCCTGCACCCCAGCCTTTCTTGAAATCCAACCAGGTAAATGCCAATCTACCAAAGAACTGATGTTTCGAGGCATCGAAATATTAGTGTGACGAGTCTTTTTATCCCTCCTTTTTTGTTTTATTTAAAGGGGCAGAATCCGCTTTTCCAGAACCAGACTCATTCATCTCAACAGCAAGTTCAGTCCAAGGATATGCCACCACGTTTCATTAAGAAAGGACAGCTGAATGCTGATGAGGTATAGAGCACGACCGATAAAGGATTTTGGAAGCCGATACTGATACAAATATTTGTTGGTTTTAAAATCCGATATATCGGCCGATATTTTATTATTATTTTTATTTCAGAAACGATGATAAGAGATGATTCGTGTCATTGCTATAACTATCATGTGCTATTAAAGAAATATTTCAGTCACATTGTCAAAAGTTAAAAAGACAGTCAGTCAACTACACTGTAACAACGTAACGTAACTATTATTAGCTAATTCCGCTTCACTCTCGGGTTATTTAATGGCAGCAAAACTGGAAATGATAGTCAGTATAGTCAATGACTGTGTAGATTGCCATTTGGTGGACAACCTCTACAACTCCAACACTCGTGACATGGTTCAAGCGAGTTTCGTCCGTTTTTATTTTATTTTTGAAATATTCATTTATCGGCCATTGTAACTGCCGATACCGATAGTTTGGAAAATGCCTAATATCGGCCTGCCGATATATCGGTCTGGCTCTGAGGTATGAATGTAATGTAATTGTCATAAATGGCAATGTTTTTATTAGTTTACACCAATATCAGTGTGTTGGGTACAAAAAGTCTAGACTTTGTAGCATATCAAGTCACAAAGCTTATACAAATTACAGAATGGTAGGTGCGCTACAAATAATGTTCAGCTGAAAGTAGCATTCACTAAAAGAACTAGGAAGATTGATTAAAAAGGAACCGATATTGTCAGCCCAGCACTTGCGTCCATGCAGCTGATGTGTACCTGTTGTAGTGTGGGTTTAATTTTAATTTCATTGCGTTTCAGATTAGCTTGAGGCCTGCTCAGTCATTCATCTTGAACAAAAACCAAATGCCAAAGTTGCAGCCGCAGATACCTACCATGATTCCTCCTAGTGCTCAACCTCCACGCACATCCACACCTCCTCTGGGACAGGTAAGGAGTGCTACATTTCACTTAGAAAATGTCGTCTTCATTTTAAAGGTGTCGAACTCTTTCGGTTGTTTGCAGCCACCGCAACTTGGCCTGAAAACCAACCCGCCTCCAATTCAGGAGAAGCCACAGAAGACGACCAAGAAGCCACCTCCTGCTGAGGAACTGCTTAAGATGACTGTACGTACTTTTCAATTCATTAATGAAAGGGTTCACTGAAATTTGAGCAAGATGATCCATATGTGTCTTTGACTTGGCAGGAAGCTGTTGTGACCACTTACCTGAGCAGCAAAAACATGAACGACGCGGTGAACGGTGTGCGAGAGATGAGAGCTCCCAAGCACTTCCTGCCTGAGATGTTGAGTAAGATGATCATGTGCTCACTGGAGAACCCAGATGAGGACCGAGAGCATGTCAGCACTCTGATCAACACGCTCCGCATGGAGGGACTGGTCACAGGGGAGAACTTTATGCAGGTTTGTGTATGCACAATGAAATTTTCCCCTTAATTTGGACTCTTCCTTTACTTAAATGACGTGTTTTTACAGGCTTTCCTCAATGTTCTGGACCAGTGTCCTAAGATCGAGTTGGATGTCCCCTTGGTGAAATCTTACCTGGCTCAATTTGCCGCCCGGGCGATCATCGCTGAACTCGTGAGCATGGCAGAGTTGGCCCACCCACTGGAGAACGGAACCCACTTCCCGCTTTTCCTCCTCTGCTTGCAGCAAATGGCCAAGCTGAAAGATCGGGAGTGGTTGACCGACCTGTTTCAACTGAGCAAGGTCAACATGCAGAAGATGCTGCCAGGTTGGTGCCCTGTATGGAAATGACTAACAATGAGCAAAACATTTCTTAGAAGATTTATTGATCTTTGTACGTTAGTTCATGATGATACAACTGTTCATGTCAGCCCAGGTTCATGTAAATATTAACAAATAGAGCCAGACCGATAAAGGATTTTCAAGGCCGATACCGATACAAATATTTGTTGGTTTTAAAATCCGATATATCTGCCGATATTATTATTTTTATTTCGATGATTAGTCGATTATTCGTTAGATTAATCGATTACCAAAATAATCGTTGGTTGCAGCTCATAGCCCTAGACTCATGTTCATTTCCCATATTCACACAGAAATCGATCAAAACAAAGATCGCATGTTGGAGATTCTGGAGGGGAAGAGCCTGAGCTTCTTGTTCCCTCTCATGAAGCTGGAGAAGGAGTTGCTGAAGCAGATCAAAGCCGACCCTGCCCCGCAAACCATCTACAAGTGGATCAAGGACAACATTTCTCTGAAACTGCACACTGATAAGGGTTTCGTTAACATTCTGATGACCAGGTATGATGATGGACCTGCCATTCTGTAACCATGAAACTTAATTCTGTGTACCCTGGATTAACAACCCCCAAACTCTTCTAGCTTTTTGCAGTACATCTTCCATGAGATGTATTCCACTGAAGAAGAAGAGCAGTTATCTTCACCTACGAAAGAGCAGCTGGACCAGGAGAAGCAGCTGCTACTTGCCTTCAAACCGGTGATGCAAAAATTCTTGCATGATCATGTGGACCTGCAAGTCAGCGCACTCTATGCCCTGCAAGTCCACTGCAACGCCCACGCTTTCCCTAAAGGTGCGTCTAATGCTGAAAGACTGAGACTTGGGGGAATCTCTATTTATGTTTTTGGATTTTTTTTTTTTTAAATGTATTTATTTCAAGATTTATTTTTTTGCATATTTTATAAAATAGAAAAATGATTTAAATGTTTATTTACATTAGGTGTTTGTTTTTAATTTCAATTAGTATTTGTTTTAAGTGTGTGTGTGTGTATTTTATATATATATATATATATATATATATATATATTTCATGTTTTATTTTAAAGTAATAAAAACTATTAATTGCGATTAATCGCATCCAGAATAAGTTTGTGTTTACATAATATATGTGGGTGCACTGTGTATAATTATTTTGTGTGTGTGTATATATATATATATATATATATATATAAATACACACACATGCATGTATATTTAAGGAAAAAATATTATTTATATATAAACTTTTTATATTTATATAAATTAATAGACAGTGCACCCAAATATTTTATATAAACAAAACTTTTATTTTGGATGCGATTAATCGTTTGTCAGCCGTAAAAATAAATATAGAGAATAGGGCTGTCAAACGATTAATCGCATCCAAAATAAAAGTTTTGTTTATATAATATATTTGGGTGCAATGTTTAAATATAAATATATATATATATATAAATACACACACATGCATGTATATTTAAGGAAAAAAATATTATTTATATATAAAATTTTTATATTTATATAAATTAATAGACGGTGCACCCAAATATTTTATATAAACAAAACTTTTATTTTGGATGCGATTAATCGTTTGACAGCCCTATTCTCTATATTTATTTTTACGGCTGACAAACGATTAATCGCATCAAAAATAAAAGTTTTGTTTATATAATATATTTGGGTGCAATGTGTAAATATATATATATATATATATAAATAAATATATATATATATATATATATATATATAAATACACACACATGCATGTATATTTAAGGAAAAAAATATTATTTATATATAAAAATTTTATATTTATATAAATTAATAGACCGTGCACCCAAATATGTTATATAAACAACTTTTATTTTGGATGCGATTAATCGTTTGTCAGCCGTAAAAATAAATATAGAGAATATGGCTGTCAAACGATTAATCGCATCCAAAATAAAAGTTTTGTTTATATAATATATTTGGGTGCAATTTATTTATATATAATGTATATATATTTTATTATACATATATATATATATATATATATATATTTGTTATAAAGTACTTTTTTTTTAGTTTGTTAATAAAGTCCGTTCGTATGTGGTTTCTTTTTATTTTATTACAGAATAATAGTCGTTGTAACTCATTGGTCTAAAGGTGTGTGTGAGCCTGAGAGGTTTGAAGTAATGAGAGGAAATGCTCGTCTTGTTTTTGAATCGTCTCTCGTCTCTTCAGGAATGTTACTGCGCTACTTTGTCAACTTTTATGATATGGAGATAATTGAAGAAGAGGCCTTCCTAGCATGGAAAGAAGATATTACCCAGGAGTTTCCAGGGAAAGGAAAAGCATTGTTTCAGGTAAAGCGCAACACGATTATCCTTTAGCAGTAGGAAGACTCTTCCATCGGAAGACTCGCCATTTCCATGATCATCTTTGCTTTTGCTGTTTAGGTCAACCAGTGGCTCACTTGGCTGGAGACCGCAGAAGAGGAAGAGTCTGAAGAGGAAGCTGACTAAAGAACCAGCCAAAGCCTTGATGTGCGTCATCTCTCCCGTTTAGTTTCACCATCTCCTCTTTCACTTGTATTAACCGCCGCACTGCTGTTTTCTGCAGTGTCAAGCCAACGTATTACGTCACGCTTCTCTTTGACCTCATCGTGTAAAGCATGCAATGACTAAGAACCACCTCGGATAAATGGTATTAACAGCTTTTTTATATATATATACATTTTGCTTTTAAGAACATGCATTTGCAAGAGCCTTTTCAGCACAAAAATATAGAAATGCACTTTTGCTCAGTGTCATATTTTGAGTTACTGCAATATTCACTTGTGTTTGTTACAAAGAATCCTCAGTCCTCATTGGTTACCATCAATGCTTTGTTTATACCTCACTGTAGTGGGCGTAATATGCGGTGTGTGTTGGAGTCAAATGAAAACTCTCCAGGTCTGCAAGGTGCTTGAGTCTGAAAAATTGTTTACTCTCCAGGTGTTATGATTGTAAAATGTCATGTTTTTTTTTGTCCCCTTCCCTCGATGTCTTATAATAATGAACAAAGCCATGTGGGAGAGATGAAATTATGCGGCCTTTTTTTAAATCGTGTTTTTTTTTCCTCAACAATGTTCGTCCCCTCCACTACTTGTCAAGCTGATACTTGAATTATTATTATTTTTCTTTACAGCATGTTCAGGGATTACCAAACACAGCCTGTTTAGATGCGACAATTTGATCCGAACAGAAATGTGTCTTTTTTTTTTTTTTAATGTGTTTTAATTGGTAAAATAAAGATGAAACAAGATGAGAAATTTGTTACGGATGTTCAATTTACGAATCGCTATTTAACAACCTAATGTTTTCCCATGATGTCTATGGATAGTATACATATTTATTTGATCATGAGGGGGAAGTCGAAGCTTTATCGTTAGGTAGGACAACAAATGGTGACCCGCTCGTGGCATCTGTACAATGATTTGCTGTTTCAAGTGTTACTGTAAAGGTGCAAGAGCTCAGAATGTTCAATGTACCACTGTTGCTTTCAATAAAGTTACACACCAGCGTTTATTTGGCCTTATTTTAATGTGTGTTTGGGCGTGGATATGTGGAACAATGAACTTTTGTCATCAACTGAAGGTCAAAAAAAATAATTGGTGACTTGGAAGTGGAAAATGCATTTTACTTTTGTTCTGGGTGAAAGTTATGAGGATAAATATTACGTTTATAAGTGATATCGCTACTGGCCTCAATGTTCAGTTCATATTCATGTGCTCAATTCCAGAGCTTTTGAACACAGTTCTGCGTTTACCCGAATATCAACTGAATTCATACTGTCACGACTTTTGTAATCTGAAAATGTATGTTTCTGTATTCAGGAGTGACCTATAAACAATGCTTGGAATCCCTAATTGGAAATGCAATGTAAGATGATGTTATGGTTGCAAGTCTATATGAGACGACCCATAAATAATGCTTTATGTACGTTTTCTAAAGATGTTCATTTTTATCTTGTTTTTCTGTAGTTCTTATGTATCTTTCTCATTTGTATTGTGCAATGCTTTTAATAGTTAGGCTATTATTGTATTATTGATGCCATGTTGGAAACATTTTCTAATAAAGTATGAGGGGGAAAAGGCACGCTGGCAGATTACTTTTTTTTTGCTTTCAATTGTTTAAAAAAAAATTGAGCTTTCTATTTATCAAAGAATCCTGAAAAATGTATACTAGCACCATGTTTGCAACATTGATACCAAAATTAAAGGGTTAGTTCACCCAAAAATGAAAATTCTGTCAGTATTTACTCACCCCCATGGTGTTACAACCCCGTAAGACCTTCGTTCATCTTCGGAACACAAATTAAGATATTAAGATCGCTCCTGCATACAGTCCTCTTGCTGTCCACGAAAAGTCATTAAAGACATCGTTAAAATAGTCCAAGTGACTACAGGGGCTCAATCTTAAGTTTATCAAACGACGAGAACACTTTTGTGCGCAAAAAAAACAACAAAAATAACGACTTTATTTCAACTATTCGTTTATTTCTCCCTCTGCGCGAGTCAGGTTACTAGTTTAATAGCGTAATCACACACACATGACCAGCGTCGGCCAATAGTGAGCCTACGTGTGACGTAGCTCTACGCTATCACACTACGTTAACTGACTAGAGGCGCATAGAGAAGGAAGTGAATAGTTGAAATAAAGTCGTTATTTTTGTTGGTTTTTTTGCGCACAAAAGTGTTCTCGTCGTTTGATAAACTTAAGATTGAGCCCCTGTAGTCATTCGGACTATTTTAACGATGTCTTTAATGACTTTTCGGGGACAGCAAGAGCCAGTCCCTCAAGCCTATGGACTGTATGCAGGAGCGATCTTAATATCTTAAATATCTTAATTTGTGTTCCGAAGATGAACGAAGGTCTTACGGGGTTGGAACAACATGAGGGTGAGTAAATACTGACAGAATTTTCATTTTTGGGTGAACTAACCCTTTAACATAGTAGTATGATTTCTGAAGGATCATGTAACACTGAAGAATGGAGTAATGGTGCTGAAAATTCATTTTAGTAGTGAACTCATGTTCAAGAGGATGTACATGGTGGTCAGAAACAATGATCAGGTAGGCTGTGGCATTTAAACGATGCCCAATTGGCACTAAGGGGCCTAAAGTGTGCCAAGAAAACACCATTACACCACCACCACCAGCCTGCACAGTGGTAACAAGGCATGATGGATCCATGTTCTCATTCTGTTTACGCCAAATTCTGACTGAATGTCTCAACAGAAATCGAGACTCATCAGAGCAGGCAGGCAACCGTGTATAATTAACCTAATATAAAATCCTCACTAATATAGTGAAAAAACGTGTTTGTGCAATTTGCATATTTTTGTTGCAAATAGGCTTATGTACACATTCAAAAAAACACAAAATAGAAAACATTTTCAAAATACTTTTTATTCAAAGGGATTTCATATTGTACACCAACTCTGAATCACAGTGCGTGATTGTCCCTTAAGATCACATAGCACAATATAAGCGATAATGCTCATCATAAACATCTGTTAAAGACGTTTTGAACATTTCTTACTCAAAAGACTAAACAGAAAACACGTTCTCATTAAAAAAAAAACGTATCCGTACGCTATGATCCGACCATTACAAAAACAAAGGCTTTTCGTTTTCCCCAAAAGAGCGAGCGCTCAGTAATTTCAGTCACTGTCGTCATCAGATCCTCGGTTGGAGGCTTCATTGTTGGACCCCTCGGGCTCAGATTCGTTATCGGACCTCTGCGGAGAGCCCTCGTTCTCGGAGCCCCGATCTGACACCGGGGCCGGAGATCCAGCCGGGGATTCATCATCGGACCCTTCGGAACGGCTCTTTTTGCTCTCGTTGTCCGACTGCTCGGAGTCGGATTGCTGCTGCGGTCTCCTCCTCTTCACCGGACGATCACTGCCAGACTCGTCCTCGTCTGAGTTTGCAGAGCGCTGGGGGCTGCCGGCCTCGCTGCCGGATCGGTTTCGCTCCTCGTTGGAGTCGCTGTCAGAAGCGATGCGTTTCCTGTGGCTTTCGTCGTCGTCTGAACCCGAGCCGCTGTGCCTGGTGTTTCTGGACATAAAATGCACAACATTAGGAGATAAATAAGCAAAACTGACATTGATAGCACACGTACATCACAGACGTCTATTTGATGTGTGTGTTTACATTTGGAAGACATATTTTTGTGTTTTCTCATCTGTCAGAGGTCAAATAGACGTTTAGAAGATGTCTTTAAGATGTAATGATTTCAAATAGACATCTTAAAGATGTCTATCAGATGTTGGTAAACAGCAGATGTTTTCTAGATGAAGTGACTCTGATAGCACACATACATCACAGAGACGTCTATTTGATGTATGTGGTTACATCTGGAAGACCCATTTTTGTGTTTTCTCATCTGCAATACATCTATTGGACGTTTCCTGTCAGATGTCAAATAGACGTTTAGAAGATGTTTTTAAGATGTAATGATTTAGATTGTATGACATCTATAACCCAGATAGCACAAGGGTATTTGATGTCCTATTAACATCTGCAAGACGTATTTTTAAGAGTGTTTGCTCATCTGCAAGACGTCTATAGGATGTTTTCTGTCAGATGTCAAATAGACGTTTAGAAGATGTCTTTAAGATGTAATGATTTCAAATGTATATTAAACTGACATCTTAAAGATGTCTATCAGATGTTGGTAAACAACAGATGTTTTCTAGATGAAGTGACCCTGATAACACACATATATCACAGAGACGTCTATTTGATGTATGTGTTTACATCTGGAAGACCCCTTTTTGTGTTTTCTCATCTGCAATACATCTATTGGACGTTTCCTGTCAGATGTCAAATAGACGTTTAGAAGATGTTTTTAAGATGTAATGATTTAGATTGTATGACATCTATAACCCAGATAGCACAAGGGTATTTGATGTCCTATTAACATCTGGAAGACGTATTTTTAAGAGTGTTTGCTCATCTGCAAGACGTCTATAGGACGTTTCCTGTCAGATGTCAAATAGACGTTTATAAGATGTCAGTTTAAGATGCATTCTAAATCATCTTAGAGACATCTTCTAAATGTCTATTTGACATCTGCAGGAATGCAAATGAGCAAACACTCTTAAAAATACGTATTCCAGATGTAAATAGGACATCAAATACCCTTGTGCTATCTGGGAAGATGTTAGTAAACAGCAGACGCTTTCCAGATGAAGTGATCTTTAACGGACATCTTGCAGATGTATGTGTGCTATCTGGGGAAGTAATTACTTTTTTTCTCTGTGACATTGGGGTGGGCGATATACCGGTCGAGGTTTTTGTCCATCACATTTGCATGTGTTGTTAACCCTAAAACCGTATTCTGGACAAATACGTGCAAAAAAGTTTTGATTAATTTTAAAAAAATACTTCCCTTGATCTGAGCGGTACAAGACTTGGCTACTTTTCCTAAGTTTGCCTCCTGAACACACACAATTTTTTGACTCAATTATACAAAAAAACTCCTTAATCTTGTATTTGGGTCAAAAATGGGCACCCATAGAAATGAATGGGAAAAACTGTAATTTAGAGCATTCTAAAATAAGCCAAAATAAGACACCAGGTGACAGCAAAGTCACTTCATCTTTAGGTTTTAGCTCTAAGAACTTATTGGAATGATATTTTAATGTAGTTAAAAAAAATAAAACATAAAAATAAGAATAATTTAAAATAGAAATATGGTACTTTCTGAAGTAAATAAATTCAAAAATACCCCCAAAATAAAAAAAAACACCATATATGGACAGACAAAACTTTATCGAAGACAGTGATATAACATTTATACAGAGGTGGAAGTAACGAATTAGAAATACCCAGATTAGTGTAATTAAGTAGTTTTTTCGTGTATTTTACTTTAAGTCTGTAATTTTCCTTGTACTTGAGTACAAATTAAGTTAAGTAATGTACTTCGCTACTTTAAAAATCCCATTCATTACTAAGTAGCCTACTTGTACAATTTGAATTCAATAAGTATTCAAATCTTTGACCAGCATTTGGATATCCAATGGAAATAACCGATCGTGGGCGGGCCAATAAAAACCCTTGTATTTTGGAACGGGGAAAAAGCCTGGTTTCTGGAGAGCTATTCGTCCCCCATTGTGTATTTTAGTGTTATCAAAGAACTTTGCCGTTATGGACATGAGATTCGAGACGCTGAATTCATTAAAAAATTCAGAAGATGATCCAGATGATGAATAAAGGTCTTATCAAGTGAAATGATCGCTCATTTAAAAAAATAAATAACAAAGTTTAAGTTTTATAAGCTCAAATGCCCGCCTTTCTCTGTTCTGCGTTCGTGACTCTTCAAAATGAACGAATTGAACGAGTGGATTTTCAGGTCATGCCGAGCTCAAGTGACCATCCTCTCTTACCTGTCCTCTGCTATTTTCAGGCCGTCCTCGTCGGAGGAGGATTCGGAGGATGAAATAATGGCCTTGGACTTGATCTTCCCTTTAAGAGATGGAGGCATGCGCTCCGGCTTGGGCTTAAAAAGAGAAAAATGCAATTAGATGTAAATCTCTACATCCAGGGAACACCTGTCCTGCATGTTACCCGCAGAGCATCTGTACCTTCTCGGCCCTCTTGCGCTCTCTGGGTTTGCGCTGCTTCCTTGGCCTTGAGCCTCCTTCCTCATCATCTGAACCAGCGGGTCTGTGGAAGCAACAAGAGAAACTCAAGTCAGGGTTTAATTACAATCACAAGGGTTCAGAAAAATAATTATTAATATTATTAACAAAATATTTGATTCATAATGAAATATATATATCATTTAAAACCATTCGAAAACCAAGCAAAAGTATAGCATTATTAAAAAAAAAAAAGTAAATTCGTGCAATTACATAAATTGAACCAAGAGTTAAGGATTTGAAGAACGTTTCTGAGCTTGATCATATTTTATTGCACTTTTTTGTAAAACTCTTGATCATACGGATTGCTGTTGAAATGACTGGATTTCGAGTATAAAATTGTGCTTAGCAAGGGTAAATGTGTCCGCACCTGGCACCTTTATACCGTTGTTAAAACAAAATCATGAATTGTTAACAACCTAAAAACTCACTCTTTATGTTCCACCTG